AAAGAAATTAACGAAACTAACTAAATTGAAAAATACAAGGATGCTTCTCAGAACCAAAGAGTGGGTAACTGTTAAGTTGAATTTGATAAGCCTCCATTTTCAATTAATTAAACTTGTCTTATTTCATCCTTACGGTTTACATCATATTCCCACATTTAAGGACGCGATCTTGGATCTCATTCTAAATTACTAATGTCAATATCTTCATTCTTATTTTTATTCACAACCCCTGAAATCTTTAAAGGACGTTCTTCAACTTTAAAATTTAGAATTTTAGAATTATATCTACATCAACCAATAATTCATCGCCAATGGAAGTTGTTTCAATAGCTTTCTTTCTTAAAAAAGTCACTAATAGTCTTATGCTTCTTCATTGAAAATTCAACTCTTCAATAATATTAACCTATAAATAATACAAGAAAAACTTAAAAAAAGTTTAATCACTCGACAAGATAAAAAAATAATAATAATAAACATGATCTAATAGTGGAGATTAAATTAATAAATTCATAATTAAATAAGAAAAATATTAAAATAATAATAATTCCTAAAAAAGGAAATTATAATTGTTTATGCAATCCTAACTAAAAAGCACATTTATGTAGATAATAGTGAAAAAGTATTATATAATTTGAACTGTATCGAATTACACAAATATAACCATGGAATGAAAAAAGGGCCTCAGATATCAGGAATCATCTTCCATCCATCTAATAACTTTTATTTTACAATTCTTCAATCCATCTAATAGTTTTTATTTTATAATTTAATATAATTTAGACCATAAAATAAAGTACCCCTTAATAATTGCTTTTGAAATTTATTCATAGATGTGATTGAATTTGCCAGAGGCCCAGAGCTCGTTCGGCCCAGTTTATAATGAATTGGATAGGTCCATTATGAAAGGAAGGAAAATCTTAGTAACAAATTTTACCAAACTTAGTTACAGATGAAAAAAGCCCATTAACAAACTGGGCCGGACCAAATATGATTAATTAAAACACGGCTTTTAAAATCTCGGGGAACTGGACGTATTAATAGACCACAGTGGAAAAGAGAACGCAAAAGCAAAGTCTTCCTTCTGTCTTGCTGGTAAAGAAAACACTGAAAACTCCGATCGGCAACGGAGAAGGTCCCAGAAGGCGAAGGAGGTAATGTCAGGGATGGAGAGATTGCAGAGGATGTTTGCTGGTGCTGGTGGCGCTTTGGGTGGTCATCCGCCACCGGATTCACCGACTCTCGATACATCGGAGCAGGTCTACATCTCCTCTCTTGCCCTCCTCAAAATGCTCAAGCACGGTACTTCCTCTGTCTCGCCTTATCCTCCTTTATCCGTTCATTTGAATGCATCTGGGCGTCTTAGTATGAGCGTTTTGTTCCACATGTCTGGTTTGATCTTTTAATCTGAGCGTGGGATTTGTGTTAATGATTAGGGTTTTACTGTTCCATGTTTCGCGTCCGAGGAATCTGTGAATTGGTATTAGGGTTTTGCTTTTCCTTTTCTGTGCTGTGCGAAAGCTCGAATTTGCTGTGCGAAATATGCTTTGCTCATCATCTGTTTTCTGCTTATTCTATGTAAGCATGCAACTTTTTGGAGTTGGACCGGACATTCTTTTACCTAAGTTCTATAAATTTGATTTTTTTTTTTTTTTGGCATATGTTTCAACAAAAAAACAATTCAATTTCAAGTTTATGATTGTTTTGATGTTAAGGGTTTGCAAATATTCAAAAATCTAGCTGGGTTTTAATAAGTTTTTTGGAGTTTACATATATGAGGGATTTGAACCATTGTTATCTAATGGTATTGCTCACTTTGATTGATGTAAATTATAGGGAGGGCTGGAGTTCCCATGGAAGTGATGGGTTTGATGCTTGGAGAGTTTGTGGATGAGTACACAGTCCGTGTTGTTGATGTATTTGCAATGCCTCAGAGTGGTACTGGTGTCAGTGTTGAAGCTGTTGATCATGTTTTCCAGACTAACATGCTAGATATGCTCAAGCAAACTGGAAGGTATCTTTTAAATTACTTAAATGAATATTAATCTGTTGGATGGGTTTTTGGGACCCAGACATGAACTTTGGCATGCCTTCTGTCTAATTTTGGAAAATGCCTCCTAGAATTAAATATTTGATAGCCAGATGGTTTGTAGGAGACTTCTGTTTTTCAGCAGACATTTTATTTTCTAACTAGTTTATCTAACTGATTTATTTCCGTTGTGTTGCAGACCAGAAATGGTGGTTGGTTGGTACCATTCGCATCCTGGATTTGGCTGTTGGCTCTCTGGTGTTGACATCAATACACAGCAGGTTGTGCTAAAACTTTCATTAGACTTCACATAAGGATCTGCTTCCTGTTCTCTTGCTATGTTTAGAAAATGGCTTTTGATCCTATGAAGCTTTATCTGTATTATCTTCAGTTGGTTTCGGGTCCTAGTCCTTCAGATTCTGTTAGGAACCTTTTCCCCATGAGTTAAAACTCAGCATTTCAACATTTCAATCTTTTGAACATCAATTATACTGCTGCATTGCATGTGGCTATCTTTTTCTTTGGCTATTCTTGCAAACGAAAGTTGGACAGCCTGTTGCTAACATCTGATTTTGCTTGTAGAGTTTTGAAGCTTTGAATCAACGGGCTGTTGCGGTGGTGGTGGACCCAATTCAGAGTGTTAAAGGGAAGGTGGTGATTGATGCATTTAGATTGATTAACCCACAAACCATGATGCTTGGCCAGGAACCACGACAAACAACATCCAACCTTGGGCATCTTAATAAGCCATCCATTCAAGTGAGTGCTAAAACCTATATAGCTTTGGAGTCTTCATTTCTTATCTTTGATGGCTTATGGTGTTTCCTCATGCGATCGATTTTCATTATCAGGCATTGATCCATGGGCTGAACAGACATTATTACTCAATAGCAATTAATTACAGGAAGAATGAACTGGAGGAAAAGATGCTATTGAATCTGCATAAGAAGAAATGGACAGATGGATTGACACTACGTCGCTTTGATACCCATTCCAAAACCAATGAACAGACTGTTCAGGTAAGAAAAGGTTTTCTCGATGTTTCATAATAGTGGCACTGAATGGATAGAGGTGATTGAGAAGAACCCCCGACCCTGGAAAAATGATCTTACCCGGTTACTCTGTATTATGTCTAGAAAATGTTGTTAGTATGACATGTTCTATTTATGGTCAATATTATTTCTTATATTGTGTTTACCTTTTCTGAATGAGGTATTTTCATACTTATCATAAGTTTACTCATTAGGGTGTCTTTATAGGCTATCTTTTAGTGATAGAAGGTTCCTTCATGCATTTCCAATCAATATTTGGAGTGCGAGTATGTTCCTTTCTCGGTAAACTGCATTGCATCAGGCAAAGTCATGATGTTGGCTCCTCTCACACACTCCTTTCATTTTATTTGTGCAGGAAATGCTAAACTTAGCTATCAAATACAACAAGGCAGTGCAAGAGGAAGATGAATTGCCCCCAGAGAAGCTAGCAATTGCAAATGTTGGACGACAAGATGCCAAGAAGCATCTTGAGGAGCACGTCTCAGATTTGATGTCTTCAAACATAGTTCAGACTTTGGGAACCATGCTTGACACAGTTGTGTTTTAATTAGAGACAAGTTTCTTCATGTTTGTTGCCTCGTGCTGTGATTCGCTGTATGCGTTACATTAAAGTTCTTAAAACAAGCATATTTGTATTGAAACCCATTTCCTCCATTACCTATCAATTTCAGTTTCTTGGGTTTTTGTTGATTCTATTTGACATGGGTTATATAATATTTAAATTTATTTTTCTGGATGTTGAGATAGTGTTCGCGGCTCACACTTTTCTGGTCATATAAGATGGACTAGAATTTAGAAAATACAAATATATAGTAGAAATATATCGCATAAGAAAACAAAAATACTTTGACAAAAATACATAAAGCAATACTAGTGGAAAAGAAAATTTGAAAAACACAGTGAATCTTCATTTTAACGCGGACATCAATTTTCTTGGGTCTTATTTTGCGCAAACTCTTGAAAAGACAGCAGCACACTCACAGAACAGGAGCCTTTCCTTTGTTGAAGAAAGAAGCCAAGCGTTTGGTCATACCCTTCGCCTTCACAGAATTGGGTTCAAAGATGTGGAAGACATGATCCTCCCCTTCTATGTCCATCAGCTCCGCCGTCCCCTGCCACCCACTCTTCACCAGTTTTTCATAGTAAAGCTTCCCTCTGTCCCTCAGTATATCCTTCTCTGCCACAATTACGAGCACCCTGTCACATGCCAACCCTGCAACATCAGATGCTCCATCCACAAATGGATTGATAAGGGGATCATCACACCCTTTGTCAGAGGGACATACAAACAACCACCAGTTATCCACTAATTCCTTCCTGAATCGATCCGTAATCTCGGTTTCAATGGGAGTTATCCCCCAGAAGTAAGGATGGATCATACCGATACCAAGAATCTTGAGGTGCTGACCCAGATCTGAGTCCTTGATCCTCAAAGCCAAGTGATGTGCAATATTAGCACCAGCACTGTCACCAGCCAGAAACACCTGCTCAAAGTCCACATAGTCCTTGAGCCAATTCTCCTGGCCGCCTTCTCCCAGCACATGAGAAGCTACCCACTGAAGTGCAGCCCATGAGTCCTCATACGCTACCGGAAGAGGATGCTCCGGAGCCAACCTGTAATCCACCGAAAGAACCACAACATTAGACTCTGCCACTAGCTTGTTGAGACTGGTGTGGTACTTAGGCTCGGCCACAGTGGCTATGCAAAAGGCTCCCCCATGAAAATACACCACCAGGGGAAGTTTTTGCTCCTTGCGGACAAAGTTTGGACGGTAGACTCTGGCTGAAACACCAGTACCCGGTACAATCACGATGTCTTTGGATAGAACATCAGTCTCAGAATCATGTCCTGCCGGCACTACTTCAGTCCCTGCAATTCTCTCGATGGTTCCGTCCCTGTACACCCTAAGGTATGGAAAAACATCAACAGACACATCTGGATTGTTAAACCCCATTTCGAAGAGCAGCTAGAGGAAGAAACGGGGGTAAAGGAAATTCTGGAACAGGTTGAGGACAGTCTCCTCCTTACGTATGCTATTAAAGACAGCAACAACTATCTTTTTCTTGGATGGACAAAGAGTAGCGTTACCTCATGACTTTTAATTAAGAGGTTGAATAATTTAATTAAGAGTTTTTCTAAGGCATATAATAAGGGTGTATTTATTATAATTTTTTGTTATTAATATATATGATAAAATTAAAAATTGATATTACTTTTATCAATTATCTAATAAAAAAATTTATGTCATAGATGTTGAAATTAATGTTATTTTTTTGTATAAATTAATACATAATTAATGATAAAAAAATACAATAAATACATCATATAATAAATAAATCATTAATTCTACAAACGCTGGAAATGGGCAACCTAATTTTTTATCAGCGTGATGTAATAGAAGCTTCCAAATTGCATTAATTACTGTTTATAAGATGTGCTGTCTTATGTTGAATTTACAGTACCAACAAAATGAATTTCTAAGTTTCCCTTCGTATGGGATTTGGTTTCATTGGAAACAAAATTACAATTAAGTTGACAGGCCATGTTAATAATAAGTTTTCATGAGGGTTCTTTGCCGGCGATGTGTGACCCTTATATTATGATATTTTTTTTTTTTTGAACAATATTATTATGAGGTGAGCTAAAACTCACTTAAAGAAGAGGGAAGTGTACCTCAAGATAATCAAAAATACTTAACCCTTCGAGCAGGTGCTTATATTAAGAAATTTTAATATTCAAGTCGACAGAATTAATAATATATCATGTCGCCTAAGTTTGCGCATAGAAAGAAGGAAAGGACAATGTTATACTGGGAACGTTTGACAAAAAACAGGGTGGATTCAAGTCATTCAACTGTGTTGAAAATTCTGGTTTGCTTATTCTGAGCAACTCTCTTTTTTTCCCATTCGTGTGAGTTTTTTTAGGCAATATCTTCTGAATCATGATTATTTTGAAAACTTTTCATCATGACGTGGAAAGAGCAAACTTGATTTTGGCCAAAAACATAAATAACTCAATTTAATGGTAGTTTTATTTTAATAAAAACAAAAAATTTTATATTTAAATTACATGATATCTTGATTATGAGCTCAGGGATGAGAGAAACTTTTAATTATATAATTTAAGATTAAAAAAATTGGTTTTTTTTTGGGGTAAATAATTGGTCTTTTTTTCGAAAATCAAGAACTGCCTTTACTATTTTTCCGATGAGTTCTTATTCTACTTGTCTTCCTAAAGTGGGTTGAACCCCACCGTTCTTTCCTCTGTCACCTCGGAGATTCCTTCATATTTTTTGCTTTTCCTTTTCATTGAATTCTGGATGGAAGTTTCTTTATTTCTCAAACAATAAAATGATAAATGTTTTTGCCAATCCAGATGAGTAAAAAAAAATGAAATGCCAAATACGAGAGAATCTATTAAAGCACTAATTGGAGGCGTATGTTCACCCAAAAAAAAAAAAAAAAACAAAAGAAAAAAAAAAGATTAGAGGCGTACTGCAGCCTATATTTCAATTAATTCTTTGAAATTGTATGTTATTCATTCAATTTGATTTTAATAAATTTAATTTTTTATTTATAATGTTTCAATTTAATTTTTTATTTTTTTAAAATGTCATTTAATGTATTTTTATTAATGTATTTTTATTTTTTTTATTTTAAAAAATAATTATAAAAGATATTAAATAAGAAATAAGTGCTATTTAATTAAGAATAAATATTAAAATTTATCAATAAATTATTACATATTTATTTTATTGGATAAAAAACTAAATTAACTAAAAATAAACAACAAGAGTAAATTCAAAATATATAAAGATATTTTTTTTAAATTGGATAATAATTATATAATAAGTAATAATTATCTCATATCCAAATTTAACCACACTCGTTTCAAAATTTGATTTTGAAATCTTTAATATAAAAAGTAAACATTTTTTTTTGTACTAATCTCTCGATATTCGGTAATCGTATTGGATCCAATTAATTCAAAATCGAATCACGTTGGACTCTATTTTAGAAAAGTTCTCCCAACATCTATTTATCCGTTTACAAAATTCAAACTTGAGATTTTATTTAAGCAGAACCGAACTTCTTCCACTTAAACTAACATGTCGTTGGTATATAAAAACTAAACATTTAACCACTAGAACACATCTTAAAACATAATATATAAGGATTAAACTAAGTAACGCCTGTGATTACCAAATTTGCACCCCCTTCCCTGTCAGCTTCAGCTATAGCATATGGTAATTAAGAGTGACAAAAAACAAACTATGGATGATACATGATGTTGTCCTTGCATCCTTCATACGTTAGCAAAATTAATGAGACAAATCGCTTTAATAACTAAGAATAATAATCATTCACCACCAGGTCCACCACCCATAGAATCAACTACCAACACATCTAAAGCTTCCACACATTTATGTAGTTTGTTCTACAGATTGCAAATCTTACTATAACTATTAAGGAGGGGCGGTTCTGTCTCAATCAATGGTTATATAATATATAGTTTATCTTGCTATCATTTTTTTATAAGAATTATGTTTTGCAAGGAGTTATTTCCCATTTAATTATTAAAATTATACAATCCGATACAATCTGAATTATATAATATTTTTTCAAACCCAATAATTAAGGGCCAAGCCCATATAACTAGCCCTCTTCGAAGGCCGAAACGACATGTCGTTTTAATTGGGTGTCTACTAGTACAGTTAGACTGCTCAGCCCAAAATTTCTCATTTATCAAACTCGATCAGCACAGCACGGTGTCAGGTGTCCATTCCATTTTTCTGAGCTTCGGGATTTTGCTAAGATGGAGAAGATGGTGCTCTTGAGATCTCTGTACAGAGCAGCTGCCGTTAGATCTTCTCGTTTCTTCCCTCCCGCCGCCACGTCCGCCTTCGCCATCTACCACAGCCACCTGGGTTCTCGAAGCTTCTTCACCGCCTCTAATCCTCCCACAAAACTCCCTTCTGGTATTATCTCCTCCTTTCAGCTCTTTTTCTCTTCATCTTTCATTTGGGAATCAGTTTTTAAATTAGTATTAATCTGTGTGTTTGAATTAGATGTGTTATACAACTCTGATCGAACTAGCTGCTTCTTTTTTTTCCTAACTTCCATCTGATCCAAGTGAAGTTTTTTTCCTCAGAAGAACCCTAAAAATTGTGAATTTAGGCTTATTGATGATTAACTTAGCTTGTATGGGGTCCTAGATTTTGCCAAAATTTTGGACCTGGGATATGATGAGAGCTTGTTTTCTTCTGTTGACTTGATGCTTCCTCATGATAGGAAGTTGTCAATTTGCTTTCTTATTTTCTTGTGCTTGGATCAAGAATACATTAGCTAGAGAGAGTAGTTAAGAGCATTTTCTGACGTTATTAATTGGTGAAATGCACAGATGTCAGGTCTCCTTTTGCAGTGAGGATTGGAAGCATGCGTTATTTTAGTGAAGATGTAACTCACATTCCCGTCATTGAAGATCCTGAAATTCAGAATGCTTTCAAGGACTTGATGGCTACCAACTGGGATGAGCTTCCTGAGACTGTTGTACATGATGTGAAGACAGCATTGTCCAAGAACACTGATGACAAGGCTGGTCAGGAAATGTTGAAAAGTGTTTTTCGTGCTGCTGAGGCTGTTGAAGAGTTCAGTGGTATTCTTGTGTCCTTGAAAATGGAAATTGATGATAGCATTGGGCTGAGTGGAGAGGTATTATAACCTCTGAGGGTGCAAATGAGTTTTTTGCTTTCCTGCCTTTTAGCCTCCTTATCACAAATTCTTGTTGTTTAATGAACCGTGTTTTTTTTTTTTGTAGAACGTGAAGCCCTTGCCAGATGACGTTGCAAATGCACTTCGTACAGTTTTCGAACGGTACTCAGCCTATTTGGATGCATTTGGGCCTGATGAAACCTACCTGCGGAAGAAGGTTGAGACAGAGTTGGGAACAAAGATGATCCACTTAAAGATGAGATGCAGTGGTCTTGGTTCTGAGTGGGGAAAGGTATTTCTATTGTTTCCTAGATACTTCACAGCTTACTGTTCTGTGATCATTTAGCTCAATTATATTTCCACAAATCCTAGTAATTGAGTATTTCGATCATGGCTGTGATTCATAGTCGTCTGGTGTTCCACAAGAAGCCTTAAATCCAGTTGTCTTGCTTTTGTGAAGTGTAAATGGCTATGTATCTCCCCAATAAAATATTTACATATAAACAAGCTCTAACGTGGCTCATTCTATCCTGACCATCTATACCACCTATTGTAGCTCTCCACTAAAGATTAACACATTTAGTTATATCTTTTTTCCATGAATCTGTGGTTATCCTTTCATCTAGATTCTCTGTTGCAACTTAAATTTGCAAGGAAACTGCAGACATGATATTTCATCCTTAAATTTTCCTAGTGCTGCTTTTGTTGAATCTGGTATTGGAATTATTTTTACACCAGGGCTCTTTGAGAAACCTCCTTGCTATTGGCCAATTGTTAGCTAGTTGTCCTCAAACGCAATTTAATTGTGCAACTCTTAACATGTTTTAAGTCTTCTTCATTGCAGGTTACTGTTCTTGGAACCTCTGGACTTTCTGGGTCGTATGTGGAGCAAAGAGCACATTAGGTGCCATAGATCGTTAAAATTTCTTGTTAATTTGAGCTTTCTTTCCTTTGAAAGGGTTAGTAAGTGTTCTCCAGGAAAACCAACAATGTAAACTTGGGGTTGGGGCTGCTGCTTCTCAGCTTTAAAATAAAGGCTCATCTTGTCAGCAGAAATGAAAGAGACAGTAACACCATGCTTTTCATTTTCTTTTATATTTTCTTCTGTATTGAACATTTCCCCTCCATATTTTTCATATCGCAATTGCTGCATTTTAAGTTCTTTGCTTTTGAGTGACCAGTAACTGAGGTTTAGGCACATGAATTTTGATGCTGATTCCAGTTTTATTGTTAGAAATCATCAAAACAAATGTTCTTTTGTTTCCATTATTGTGAAAAATGTTAGAAAAAGTCGGTAGTCTGTCGTTGTCAAGCCATACATTGTTTTTCTTTCCCTTGCTTGAAAACTTAAAAGTGAAGAAAATAAAGAGCAGGATAGCTTACTAATATTGCCAATCAGCTGCAAAAACCATGCATGGCAGAACTTCTAAACATAAGGTGTCTTAGTTATTCTACAGCCTTTACGCCAGAACCAGGGATCAGAAGGCGATTTAGGCAGGGGAGGGAGCAACATCAACTTCCGGCAGAGACCAAATGGCCATCCTTCACACTGGCAAAATTCCTGAATTATTGCCCGTCTCCGGGAGTCCTCAGGGTCGAACTTCCAGGAATTCACAGAATCAAGCCTGCTCAAGCTGGAAGATCGAGAAAAGTTTGTCTTCGCAGAGCGAAAAGCTTCCTTACTCACAGCACTTGAACATCGGGAGAGACAGCTGCCTGCAGAGAAGTACTCTTCCCCTACATCATCTTCACCATCCTGTTGTTCTTCCCTTTGCTTTGATGTTAAATATATCTCTCCTGTGGAAGGAGAAAACACCCAGGAAGAAAAGCTATCTGCTTTGATGCTGGACCTGCGCTTCATCTTCTCCATTGCTTTGCTCCGAATTTCTGAAACCACCACCTGTAGAGAGAACCAAAAAAGCATTAACAGAACCCAAAAGGAAAAGGACTGGGAAATGAACTTCGGAATGGTGACTACTTCCTCTTCATCATCAATTTCGCTAACTGGGGACTCCTCCGGGCCTGAAATCGAAAGCTGCCGTCCATGGAAACCATGCCAATTAGAAAGCGCATCCTTGAGCGCAGTAGCAAGAAACTTGCATCTCTTGGGATGACGGGGTTGCTCTTCATGATAAAAGGCGCCCATATCAGAGAAGCAAACCGCCTAGAGATGCTGCAGAGTGCAGATTGATCTGCAAGATTCATATATATATATATAGAGAGAGAGAGAGAGAGAGAGTTCATATTCTGTTTTTGATGTCCAAATTGACCTGCCTGTGTTGATAGTGCCATTTCAGCGTATTGAAAAACACACTTGGACTCTATTCTTTGGGGTAAAGACACAGTAAAAAAAAAATTAGATTAAACAGATGACCCTAAAACTCCAGTTGAATAGTTTACATAACTTTATCTATTCATTTTCCTTAGCTATTGCCTTCCATTGTAAGCCACAAGGGTAACTTCACCCTGAAGTCATGGGAGAAACTGAGACATAATACCAAACAACGACGGCTCAAATTGGATGAACTCCGACAGGACTGGTTCTGTCTCCATTGTAGTCACTTTCTGATAGGTGCTAACACACACACACAATAAAATAAAATAAAATAACCTACCTAAATTTTGGAGATTGATAATTTGATCAAGATTCAGATTCAGGGGTCAGTTCTAGCTTCAGTTTCTTCACTTTGAATCTGCGAACTCTCTGGATTTTTCCCTTTGTTTTCCTTCCCATCCTGGTGGCAAGACATCCTATCTGGTGGAATGGAAGTGAGCATCAATGATATCCATGGAAAATGGTTAGGCACCACTGATTGAGTTTGGAAAATTACCTATTTATGCTGGCCTAATTTTCCCAACCATTATAATGAGATCTTGACAGAGGAGCACCTTTATGCCACTTTGATTAAAATTCATCACAAGACAAAACAGTATGTTTCTGTTAAACGTAGCCAGTCTCCGCCTTATTATAGCCAGCTTTCCTAACAGATTGTGAGCCAAATTGTTGCAAATTCTTTCTGTAACTGTAATAAAAAAATGAAATCCCTGTGACCTCCTCTTGTTTTGGTTATCGAGATTAGCAATCGCTATTTTTAGTGGGGAAAACTGCATTACTAAGATTTCTTACTTAGAGATACCTTTATTAGACCTTTCATTTAGAAACAAAAGAATTTGCAAGGGGTTGGATCAAGTGGTAAGCTACTTGTTCCAGCTTAAATAAAGTCTCGAGTTCGAGACCTCGTGTACGCAGCAGCCTTCGTTGAGAGACTCACCCACCATTTTCAGGTGCGTAACACAGATCGATCCAGATTAGTAGGGACGAAGTCCTGGATACCAGACGGGAAACCAAAAAAAAAAACAAAAGAATTTGCAATAAGCTATTTCAATACAATAGCTGTAGAAACTAATCAAAAAATTCCCAAGACCTGCTTGATGGCAGCATACACAAACTGTGTAATTCCATTCTCAAAGCATGGGGTGAAATGCAAGTGAGCAAACATTATTTAGGAACAAGCTGATCTAGCAAAACTTTACTCACTATTGCCTTGAAGGATTTCTAAATGGTTCTTACATCTCCCCCTCCTTTCTCCCATGTACAGAAGTCATCAAGTTGTACAAGATTGTCAAGATATGAATGGAAAGGCCAAACTTCTCAATTTCCAAACCATCGAGGCAAAACCAACAACTTCTGAGCTCAGATAATTTCAATGGTTGGCAAAGATAGCTCAATAGAGATTAAATCAACCAATTTTCACTCCCTTTGCTGCCCAATCAGAAGAAACAAGAAAATTAGAACATACACCAATAGAGAAAAAATTGCTGTTAAAAAAGAAAACCAATAGAGGAAAAATTAGATGTTGATATCCTCTCCAACATACACTAGAAAGATAAAGAAACAGAGTACCCCAACTTTGAGAGGTTGTGTAATGTTAAAGGAATGACAATGGTACTGCTCCTATTGGGGTACAGCATATTCCATTGAACTACATGCTATATAACTCACAATAGTTAAATGGTCACAAACATTCAACAAATCAAAGTGGAAAACCATGGGGAAAATTTTCAATTTCAGCCTTAAGAAAAGCCCTTCACAAGTGATAATAACCTTGGAACTTACAAAAACCTAAGTGAAGAGCAAATCAAACCAAAGAATGGTAATAAACCAGATTCATATTAGCGCTAACAACAACTAAGAAAGCTATTAGTGTGAAGGAACAGTAAAATATCCAAATTTCACATGCAAACTGAAATATAATTCGAACATTATATAGCCTTACAAGTTAAAAAAAAAAAAAAAGTTAAATATTGTAACTATATTTTCCTCAAGAAAGTTACCGGTCAGTTTCAGCAGATTTTTGGAGTTGCCGTGATGTAAGAGAAATGATAGATTGAAGCTTAGCAACAGCAGAGATCTTGTCAGGGGGGCAATTAGCTAGTGAAACATTCAGAGAGTGAAGAGCCTCTTCAAGCTTGCCAGCAGCCAAAGCTGCACATCCTGCTTTATAAGCCTCATCCGCCATCTGCACATCATACTTAGGTGACCCACTTGCTTCATGGCTCTTACTCTTCACCAGGGAAGAAGAATCAAGGAAAGCAGTAGCCCGTGCATACTCCACATTTGCTATGGCTGTATTAATCTCAGCCATAAGAACCTCAGGTGTTGTTGGAAAAACCTTCACACCATCAAATACACTCCATTTATGACTTCCTTCTCCAGAACCCATCTTCCTCTATAACCAACTCATAAAACTAAAGTTTTCAATCTACAAGAAAATCCAATCTGGTCTTAGTTTTAGTAACCCCACCCTGATTTCAAGCGTACAAAAGCAAATGCCAAAGAAATTAAATTGCCAGCAAATTTCTTTATTATTTTTTTTAATACTGAAATTATGAACCATGTGAGCATCAAGTATATGATATTTAGACAATTATTAGCAGAAAACAATCATCTTTTTGCTCGAACATAGTTAACATTATCTAATGTGAGTAATACTTCATCCAGCTATGTACGAACCATAAGGGTTTTGGAATCCCAAGCAGAATTTGGCCGAAAACATCAAAAAATCAAAGCTAATTTCTTGGATACAAATGATGAGAATCTAATTGTTGTTTAGACCACAAGTTATTCAATTTGGAGAAGAGAGCAATGTTAAACTGATATATGGTCAATGGTTCGGCGCAAAAGAAAATAGCAGAAGCAAATACCTTAAAGAGATGGCCAAAGAAATCCCTTGAAGCGAAGGCGTTTCAGAGCAGGTAGAAACGAGCTCCAGTAATATCCAATTATCCACGCGTTGAAGAGTGTAGCCGCGATGATGGTCGGCGGTCGGCGGTCCGCGCCGCTTCTTGTTGATGGAACGACGTTTTAACTACCGTTCTTGTTCCGCTGCTTTTCAATTTCCAGGTACGCCACTTATTTTCTTTATTTTACTTCTTTATTGGGCTAATATAATAGTTACAATATAATATATATATATATAATATTATTAAAAATTCATAATTATTATATATTATTAAATAAATAA